CGATTTGATGAGTTAGGCCCTTTTCAACTGATTTTTATAGTTTGTTCTTATATTGTGCTGTTCCTCCCCTGTCTCGGATTTGGGTAGGCTGGGCGGCCGCAAACATGTAATACCACGCCATAGTCTACATGTACCTGTCAGGCGCCTGTGATTGAGTGGTTGTTGTTTGTTGCTGTTTATCATATTTGCTTTTCGTTTATTGTTTTGTACAGTTAATTCTTGTGTTGTTCTGTTGGACCACTGTCTAGGGTCTACGGGAATAGTTGGGCGCTCGTAACCCCGCCACATACTGCATGTGCCTGTCCAAATTTTAGGAATCTGTAACTGAGTGGATGTCGTTTGTTGTATATCATATTTGTGTGTTTTTCGTTTTGTTGTTGTATTTACATAAATCTGTGGTGTTGGTTTTGCTCATTTTTGAAGTCCGTACCGTAAACCTATAGTTATTTACAGTAATTTCTACTTCAGTTGGTGTCTGGTGGAGTGTTGTCTCATTGGCAAAAGATACCACATGTGTGATGATGTATTTTTGGCTTGGCATCATAGCCCAGTACGAAGTGGTTCGGTACTAAAATGATTTATACCATACCTTTATTTCTAATTTTTCGTTTAGAAACTAAAGGTTCTGAATTCCGCAGGCAAAATAGACCTATATTGACCTGAAAATCACTTTTCTTTGAAGTGAGTTAACCAAAAGGGCCGAAATACCGTAAGCCTAAATGCAAAAATGGGAAACCTAACTTCAAAATACTGATGGATTCTGTGAAGATTATATCAGGCAATAGGTTAAATGCGAAAAAGAAGACTTCTATACTATTTTCCAAATAAGTTAAGGCTGTGAGATCGTTAATACAAATTAGAATTTAAAAACTTGATGGGTCTATGCACACTCATGTTACATCTTTTTTAATAGAAAAGACCCAAACGTTGATAGACACCTATTTTAACTCTATGACAAATATGTTGTGTTCCCGCAGATAAAACCCCAAAAAAAACATTGTATTCGTGTATAAATTACCTTTCATAATCTCGTGCAAAAGGGTATTGACAATTTACTTGGACCTCGACATATACGCCAACGATATATACCAGGGGACACCCTGAACAATCATAGGTATGTTCTGTGTTCCTTTGGAATTTCAACCAAAGAGAAAGAATTTGATCCTCCTTTACTAACTTGGATACCGAAATAAAACAATTGTCCTTACATACAACGTTATATTGGTGGGGTTGCAAAGTCCCCCACGAAACCTCTTTCAAAAATGTAAGCATCAATTATATCAGCAATCAAAGTCGGGCTTCAGAGTAAGAGTGTAACTACATACTCTAGGGGAGGTGTGAATCAGATGTGGAGACTTATATGGAAAGATCTGTTAGAGTACATCCTATTTATCTATCATCTTGCAATGGTATAAAACATTTGAATTGTCTAACCTTTACACTAGTATACATCATATAAACTTAAAAGACAGGTTGAACTTTGTTAGGGATGTATCATACTTTGTAAGAAAAATAAATCTGATTAAACAAATAAATTCTCTGAAACGTACTTTATCAAGATGCTTGATAATTTTTTTTATTGACAATATGTTTTTTACACAGGCGTTTGTGGAGTGGATATCCCCTTCTTTTTATTTGTGTGTTTATATTTTATTTAAAAATATTTTTTTCATATTTCAACTTATATTACCTTAGTTTTACTTATCTAAGGTGTTCAAAGTCTTTTCAATGCGATTTAACAATATTAATAAAAAAAAAAATACCCTCTATCCTTTTCTTTCACAGGGAATTTTATTTTTACTAATATTGTTTAATCGCATTGAAAAGACTTTGAACACCTTGAATAAGCAAAACTAAGTTAATATAAGTTGAAATATGAAAAAATATTTTCAAATAAAATATAAACATACAAATAAAAAAGGGGGGATCAACTCCACAAACGCCTGTGGTTTTTAACAAACAATCAGCATTTCTCTGTGCCTCTCTTCTGTCCGACTTGTTCCTTTATTTGTATGGAACATATATCAATCATACAGGAGTTTCGCAGAAATGATGAAAAGAAGCTTGCATTATCCTTTAACTTCACGTTCCGCTATATAGATGATGTCCTCTCACTATATATATAATCCACTGTTTGGTGAGTATGTTGAATGCATCTATCCTATCGAACTTGAAACGAGGAATATCACAGATAGAGTTAAGTCTACCACATAGCATGACTTATATCTGACAATTGGGTTCACTTGTGAAAAAACGTTACGACAAAAGGGATGGATTTATATTCCGATTGTATTCAGCATGAAGGCAGACTTTTTTACTTATAAACAATCTTATATATTCTGATATCTATTTTAGGCCTTATACTCAGCTTCTGGTTTACTTTGTCACCATATTCTTCATTAAGGTACTTATGATTACTAACATATGCTGAAATGTCATTTAATTGATAATTCTAGTGTAATTGAGATCAGTGATTGAATGACTGACGAATAATTCAGCTAAACTGATAACATGGTAAAAAACTATATAAAAGTATTAAACATTCAAGCAGCGTCTGCATATGGAGTATCTATCTCACAGTTGATACGATATTCCAAGGCTTGTATTTCCTATCATGATTTCCTTGACAGAGGGTTGATGCTCACAAGGAAGTTATTAAACCAAGAGTTCTAAGTTGTGAAGTTGAGGTCATCCCTTCGAAAATTTTACGGACGCCATTATGAGTTGGTTGACCGTTATGGAACATCTGTTTCAATCGTCGTAAATATAATCAAAGTACTGAAAAACTGAACATCGGATGACCGCAAGTTCTGGTGGATGGTCTCAGAAAAAAAACCATATCTCTATACCTGAAAGTTAGGTTACGGTACATAGATATATATCATTTTTTCTGAGACAAGTTCCAGTGTGGATGATGAACAAATGACAGGGAACTCAACCTCACCGTAATAATTATTGTATTGTAGTGATATAATCATTTGTTATCAGTATAATCTGGTTTGTTGTTATATATTATATTAATAACTGTATTACAGTTATATATAGCAGATCATCTCTCGAGATATTCTTCCGCATGCGTTAACACAAATTTTCGGTATTCATGATTTCTTACTGATATAAATATTTTTCACGACAAAACATTTTCATATCATTTACTATGTTCTTAAAAATATTTTCATGAGTATTCATTGAAGAAATGAATTTATAACCAGCGATAAGTAATGTTATTCTGCACTCGATAATATCCGCGTATTTATACGAAATACGTTCGGTTATCAGTTAAAAGCGCAAGAAATTTCTGCGGCAACATAACACCGGTATGACCTCTCAAGGTCACATCCGATTTAAAAATTAAGAGATGCGGTATGATTGCCAATGAGACAACTATCCACCAAAGTTCAAATGAAGTGGATGTAAGCAATTATAGGCAACCGTACAGCCTTCAAAAATCAGAAAAACCCAATCCGTATAGTAGGCTATAAATAGCCCGACATAAAATATGAAATAATTAAATTGAGAAAACCAACGGCCTAATTTAAAACAAAACAAATTTCGGAAAACAAATATGACAGACATGAACCAACAACCACTGAACTACAGGCTCCTGACTTGAGACAGGCACATAAAAAATGTGGTGGGGTTAAACATTGTTTGTGAGCGCTCAACCCTCCCCTAACCTAACCTAAACACAATTCCGTCCTCATTTTCCCCGACTGTGACCTACCAAATTAGACTTATCACCGGATTTGTACTTGCATGAGCAACACGACAGATGCCATACGCGGAGCAGGTATTCTTACCCTTCCGGAACCCCATGAGATAACCCCCAGTTTTTGGTGGGATTCGTATTGTTCAGTCAAGTTTTCTATGTTGTGTTTTGTGTGCCGTTGTTTATCTTTTGGTATTTTTTTTTCTTTTTTTTTTTTTGCCCTTTGGTATACTTTGCCTCTCTTTTGAGTAGATGTGCAGTGTAAATTGTACAACTGCAATTTGTTATATTGCTTCGTCCTTCGCATCTACGTGTGAGGTAAGCACTGCTTTGGGTTTGATATTTTTGGCTATCAATGCTTATTGTGTTGCATATTATATTGTTTTGTTAATGCTTACTTTTAACTGCTTTGTTTTTGCTCAACATTACCTATTAAGTTTGTTTCGTGTATAATTTAGTTTTGCATGTGATTATATTTTCAAGACAGTATTGTTTCATGTTTGAATAGTCCAATTACATTATATCAATATATTTGTTTGAGAATAATGAAAAAGAGGAAAAGGTTAAGAACTTGTATAAAATAGTTGGGTCTTTTATTACAAACAATATATCTTATCATAATAAAACGATCCTAAATCTGAGATGTCTTATTTGTGTTTCTAAGAACGTTTGAATCCACTTGGCTGCAGTCATCTCTTCGACAGTTTTACGGACGGCAGCACGAGTGGGTTGACCCCTATAGAATATCTATGTCACTGATGACCACGTATATGTTCTAATTGTCTTAACCTCAATCCCGTTCCGCGTTCTTTTCCTCGATTGTTTCTTCACCAAATGAGACTTATCACTGGATTTGTACTTACATGAGGAACACGACGGGTGACTCATATGGAGTTGGATCTGCTTACCCTTCCGGAGCATCTGAGTTCAACCCGCATCTATGCTTGAGTTCGTGTTGCTGAATCTTTAGTTTTCTATGAAGTGGTTTGTGGATTTTTTCGTCTTTTCGTCGTTTTTAGTTTGTTGGCATGGCGTTGTCGGTTTTTTTCTTCGACTGCTGAGTTTTGAATGTCCCCGTGGTATCTTCCGCATCTTTTTTTTACATGAGTGACATAAAAAGATTAGGAACAAAGACGGAATATATTTGATTTTACATATTAAGCCTCCTGTTATAAGTTATTGTTTGTGGTACTCCATGGTTATCCTTTTTCACGTAATTTTCATTATTCTTTTCAGATTAAAGCGTAGAAACAAACAAGGTGAGCGATTCGTAAAGTTGTGCAGTAAATAGACACGTGGAAATCAGTTGATTGTTTTATTTTTCTTAAATTGCAACATTTTGGAAAGACAGAAATTCATTTTGATGTTTAAGCTTCATCTGTATTTCTTGTTTCCAGTATATTGAGCCACCGTTATTCCTCATTGCTCTCATATCCATGGTTCTGCATTTTACCAGCCGTGTGTTTGACGACTTTTAAATGATGTTTTCTGTTGGTTTTATTTTCTGTATGTACATATGGTCTATGTACATTTGAACCATCAGCAGACATTGTATTACTGTAAATATTTTTACTGTCGATTTTCTTTTTGGCACGACGCTTAGCGAGCATAACGAGTTGGCGTAGATATTCATCCACTGACTTTATACTGTGATTAATATGTTCTTCATCACCATAGTAACCTATAGAAATAATTATTCAGTTGAATTTGTCATTTTTTAATAATTCTTGTGTATCTTCAGTATAGAATTATGTAGATATTTTCACATAGAAACAGTTCATTATGTAGATATTTTCACATATAAACAGTTCAGTATGTAGATATTTTCAACGTTTCTTGCATAAAATTCCATGCTCTCTAAATAATTTTACTTTGCTGCGCCTACTCTTTTGTAGATTTGCTGTAGGCATTTTATTCCTTTATTCCTGCGTTCATCGATGACTGTTTAACATACTGCAGCAAATGTTATTTGAAAAGTCAGAACAAAACAATCTTAATGTTATATAAATGTAACTAGTTTTGTACAATGTCGCTGCTTTTTTATTATTTACTATTTTTGCTAGTCTTAAAATGGCTACGTGTAATTTTAATATTCTTAGGCAATATATACTCTTTCAGTATACGATAAAAAAGATATCCACATTACCTTCTTCATACGGTATGAATATTTTCAAAATCTTCATACGCCGAAAGCATACATTTTCATGAAAATATCGATGTATACAACGTCGCCATACACGGAAGAAATGCCTTTGTGTACATTGTAGACGATATTCTGAAAAAAAATATAAATTTCAATCAATTCTAAATCTTTACTTTAAAAATTGTAAGAACGTCATTGCTAAAATTGAGAATGGAAATGGGGAATATGTCAGAAAGACAACAACCCGACCAAAGAGCAGATAACAGCCAAAGGCCACCAATGGGTCTTCAACGCAGCGAGAAAATCCCGCACCCGGAGGTGGGCCTCAGCTGGCCCCTAAATAAAAATGCGTACTAGTTCAGTGAAAATGGACATCATACTAAACTCCAAAACATATAAATGAACTAAAATTAAAAAAAACATACAAGACTAACAAAGGCCAGAGGCTCCTGACTTGGGACAGGCACAAAAATGCGGCGGGGTTAAACATGTTTTGTGAGATCTCAACCCTCCCCCTATACCTCTAGCCAATGTAGAATAAAGAAACAACACACAGCAATCGCACATTAAAACCCATAACATTGTTAAGATAACAAACTAATGTTCCTCGTACTGTACCGTACGTATTCATTGTTAAGATAACAAACTTATGTTCCTCGTACTGTATAAATTAAGTTTACCGTGTCCAATGTTGAGGTAACAAACTAATGTCCTCGTGCTTATAGATTAAGTCCACCGTGTCCTCGTGCTGTATAGATTAAGTCTACCGTGTCCTCGTGCTGTATAGATTAAGTCTACCGTGTCCTCGTGCTATATAGATTAAGTCTACCGTGTCCTCGTGCTGTATAGATTAGGTCTACCGTGTCCTCGTGCTGTATAGATTAAGTCTACCGTGTCCTCGTGCTGTATAGATTAAGTCTACCGTGTCCTCGTACTGCATAGATTAAGTCTACCGTGTCCTCGTGCTGTATAGATTAAGTCTACCGTGCCCTCGTGCTGTATAGATTAGGTCAGCCGTGTCCTCGTGCTGTATAGATTAAGTCTACCGTGTCCTCGTACTGTATAAAGTGAGTCTACCGTGTCCTCGTGGTGTATAGATTAAGTCTACCGTGTCCTCGTGCTGTATAGATCAAGTCTACCGTGTCGTCGTGTTATATAGAGTAAGTTAACCGTGTCCTCGTGCTGTATAGAGTAAGTCTACCGTGTCCTCGTGCTGTATAGAGTTAGTCTACCGTGTCCGCGTGCAGTATAGAGTAAGTCTACCGTGTCCTCGTGCTGTATAGATTAGGTCTACCGTGTCCTCGTTCTGTATAGATTAGGTCTACCGTGTCCTTGTGCTGTATAGATTAAGTCTTCGTTCTTATGGTGTATGATCTTATATCTTCAATTTGAGTTTTTTACTTGTGAGAGAGCGGACTAAATTTGTCTCTGGTGAGCAGTTGTCTTACTTGCAATCATATCACATATTCTTATTTTTATGTTACTTTTTCCGTTTACATGCAGTACAACCTATCCTTATTATTTTAATTATAACCGACGGATCATTCACCACTGTTGTGGTACAGTTCTAGGGAGAAAAGATTGCATTTTTCCTTTTATTTCTTGGCTTTTTGAACGAAATAATAATTGTTTTATTTTGTGAATATTATCGAATTAACTCAACACCATTTATGATAACGTATATTTTTCCATGTTTTATATTTTCTATTTCTGAGCAAAATATCTATTTATTTCTCTTCTGCAATCCTCAATGATTTTTCAATATGACAATTAAATTGATAATACTAAAGAAAAACTCATGTGGTTTATATGTGTACACTTATTCTTTTGATCGAATTGATAATACGCTTTGTTTGTTTAGGTTGCATTGTCCATTGCTCGCATTCTTCTTGAATTTGAATTCTGAATAACTTTTGATTTTTATCTGTCAAATATTTGTCATAAGATTCCGATCTTACATTTTCAAGTGTTAACTTTTAAGATGATCGTTCATCACTAAAGACTATAGGAGGATATGACAGTGACTTCTATGTGTCTTTTTATTGTAATAAACGAGTAGCTATCGTCGCCACTTTCTTTAGCACTTTATTCTATTCCTATAATATTTAAATATCCTGATTTTGTAAATGACTCTTAAACCTCAGACAGAGCTGATACATTCCAATCTCACCTTTCCCTCCATGAATTAGTCTTCCATTCTTAAACTTCAAACTGATAGGTCGAATATGGTGTTTTATTACCGGTTTCAAATGACCTTTCGTTCTGAGTTTTCTCCCTTTCACCCTTTTTATTTTATATACCACTAGGCGTCTGAATACTTGTCCTGGGCCTATCAGTCCTTGTTGTTGCAGTTTTGTCAAACAAACACTGGTTTGACCGTTTTTATGTATACAAGATTTCATTCGACGTTTAACTCGACTTTTTCTACATCCTGGCTTGAATTCATAATCTGAAAATACATTGGTTTTTATTAAAGAAAATAGATAAGTACTAAATTTCAATTTTTATGCATCGATAATGTGTAGAACAAACTTAACTCTAGAAACCGACGTGTTTGAACACCAACATGACGTTTGTACCTTCCATTTACAGTGTCATAAATGATTTCTATTTAAGTTTCTAGTCTTTACAATCATACATATATCGAACTATATATTAACTATTTATTATTGATGACTGCTTGTTGACTTCATATTGCATTTTGGTTATTTAAGAGATAACTGTATTGTATTTGAAGCTTTGCGGATGTCCATCAGTAGTTTTACTGTCGCAAATATCCGTTAACCTGTCTTCACTACGCGTCGCCAGGTAAACTCAATTTGTAATAGTAAAACTACCGACGGACGTCCGCAAAGCTTCAAATACAATAGTTATTTCTTAAATAATTGGTTTATTTTATTTATATTTTCGTGGAGCTGTATTTTCAATTATGAGACGGGTATCCTTTTGAACTTTGGAAGAGATAGATGTTGCTGCTGCAGTACTTCTTGGATTGTAGAGCCGTGGATTCTGTTTTCTTCTGTTTATTTAAGAAGTATTAAAAATATGTGTCGTGATTGTTTACTCCGTTTGTATAAACAATATTACAAATAATTGTACGTGTGTCAGCAATAATTTAATGAGTCAAGTGCATTTTGTTTACGTTCAAGGACGATTATTTTAGAGTTGAAACCAAGAAATAGGCAATAACTTGTACTTCAAAATAATTTTAACTATTCTAAATCGGATATCATTTTACCAGACGATAAACACAATAAGCCTTTCGGCTTAAAGAAGAATTAATATTCGGTTTTGTATATACTGGGTACTTACATACTTGTGTATATACCAAACCACCAGGGAGGAATCTAATACCCAATCCATGAACACCGTTGATCAAGATTTCTCGTCTACCAAGCAGACCTCTTTCAGAAAGCAATGTCAAGCAATTAATAACTGCCATTTTATCCTTCTTACAAACATTAAACTCATGGTAGAAACGAGTTCTACCACACAGGTTTCTGAAATCTGCATAAGTGTTAACAATGTTTTAATTTGAATTTGAAAAGAAAGCATAGGGTTTATTGGTAATATATACAGAAAATCAATATATACTGTCTTTCTTAAACCAAAAGCAGGAAACACACTTTTCTTCATCTTTAATTAACTGTGAAATTTCCTTTTCTATACTCTCAAATTTAATTAAAATAAAATTGGAAACATTTGTCTATAATGTAATGAATGCTGTGAATTGGAATAATAATATATGTTGTAAATAAAGTGAAACAAATACGTTAAATGTTAATGTTCAAATATCGACTTCAGTTCAATGCAGACGTAACATTTGTATATTGTATAAACTTAACTGCCGCTAAGAGGAAGTGATGGGAGATATAGCATCAGCTCAGATTCCCCACCTTCGTCTAAATTTAGCTATGTCAAGTAAAAGGACATTGACAAAGGGTCTTGTAAGAAGGCAAGAGGAACACATAAACCATACATGATTAGTTTGGTACATTTAAGACTATTTGTGGTGTGAAAACTTTTATGAATTTTTTTGCTTTGAAAACAATACGCATTGGTTGGGTTTAAAATACTTTTAAAAGTACCAGTCTTATAATTGTGTAGTCCAGACGAGCGTTGAGTATAGTTAGTAAAGTAAGGACAACATTAAATGGTTATTTGTATTAAAGAACAGTCGTAGTGTTAAAATTTTACATAGATATGTAAGGAAATGGTATTTTGCAAACATTGCTTTTCACAGTCAAAGCTATATAAACCATTGAACTATATATAAAACAATATATACATTTATATTAAATCAAATAAATAAGTATTTTAAACCCAACCAAAGCGAAATTTTATCAAAGCTGAAAAAGTAACTTCCCTTTAGGCTATAGTTTGTGTTGTATTGGATTAAATTTATCATGATCAAAACTGGTAGATAAACTGAAAATTGTTTCGAATTAAACATTCAAGAGTAAGAAAAGTATTCTGTATCCTGCAATCGACCATTTTTCTATACGAATACAGGTTTACAGATGGAAACCGAAACGATTTACGCCTAGCATATATTTATATCTCCTTGTATAATGTTCTGATGTAAGCCAATAGTTACATCCAAAATACTGTAACGTCTCGATTGATTTTGGGGGCCTATTTGTGGTCCACGTTTATACTGTGTCCTCTTCATAAAAAAATAGAATTCAATAGTGTAGGGGTGAACATTATACACTTAAGGGTAGATTTTGAATTGCCGGAATTATACAATATTTAAAATTGTACATTGTAAAATAATATATGAAATTTATTTGTACTCGCTACGAAACCAAATTCTATTGTAATTGATTATTTCAGTCAGTTTTTCTTTGCTGTTGCACCTGCTTTTTTTCGGTCAATCTGAAATATTTTATAGCCATGCTTTCTTGGCTATTGCAATATTGCTTATTTCAGTCAATTTCAAATATTTTATAGTCATGAAACGGACATGACTAGAAATACACAGTATTTACAGATTTTTTATATATTTTAGTTAAATTTTAATCAATTAAGTTCATATTTATGTTTAATCATTTATCGCCGCGATATAGCCATTTTGTGCTTATGCGGCGTAAAACAATCAACAATCAATCAATCTTTAATCTTTTATGCTATGTTTTTCACAGTTTTGTTATGCATGCTTAGTTTTATTTCAAAGCAACTTATATATTGCATTTTTTTTTTTTTTATTTTTTTTTTTTTATATTTATCTATTCTTTCCTGTTCCTAAAGTTTTTACGAATAGATTTTGAATTTTCCTTCATTGTATAAATAAATTTTATATTTTTACTACATTGTACGAATTTTTCCATATAAAATGTATTGTAAAATATCCGCTGCAAATCAAATATTCAGCTTTGTATGGGTATAATCGAAAAAGACAACAGTATAAAAGAAATGTTGGATAGCCATTTTAAATAATAGCAGTGATTTTTTTAAATAAAAAGAGTAAACTTTATTTTTTTTTATTGCACACATGTACCGATTCTTATCATCGTCGTATTTATTTAATTCTAGATTGCTTCGCTTTGGATCCGTTTGCCCTAATAGTTGTTCGCCCTGATTCTTATTCTGTTTGTTTGTTGTATAATGGTATAATATATTATTTTATTGATTGATTGATTGATGTTTAACGCCACTTTCAACACTATTGTGCTATTTCGTTGAGGTCAGTTTTTATTGGTGGAGGAAGCCGGAGTGCCCAGAGAGAACCGCCGACCTTCGGTAGGAAAACTGACAAGCCTAGTCAATTAAGATTGGAGTCGACTGCACCTGCCCCGTACGGGATTCGAGCTCACAACCTCAGTGTTGACTGGCTAGTGATACAGTAGTTCGACTACTTAGACCACTCGGCCACCAAGGACCTCTATATTATGTGAATAGAAAATGTATTGCGTAAAGCTATAGTGTGGAAAATTTCAATAAAGGGTCATGCTAAAAAACGTTAATATATTTGGCACACTGATTTTGCACAAAATGCAATATTCATGTTGTAATTTTATTCTCATTAATGTAAAAATATCCGGATTTTTAAAAAATTTGAAAATTAATAACAAATTTGTCAAAACACTTGAGATCAAAAGAGCCAACCTGCAAACATAAATCCCCTTTCAGGTCTTACAATTCGTATATGCATTCTTTATACTCATTCCTAGCTGACTAGTTTACTTTACAAAATTGCAATTTTCATAATTAAAAGACATTTAAGATTTAAGAAAATATTTTGATGTTTTTTCTTGAATTTTAATACATCTATATCTTTTCTAATCTGTTAACCAAATAAACACCTGCATAGGCATATAAAACTCTAAATAAAAAAAAAAATTTATTTCAACATATTTGTTCAATAAATATAGAGAAGAAACTTTGTGCAAACGGACCCAAGGTGAACATGTAATCAGGTCGAGCGAACCTAAGGCGAACATGTAATCTGGGTGAACGGACCTAAGGCGAACATGTAATCTGGGCGAACGGTAAGACGAACATGTAATCTGGGCGAATGGTAAGGCGAACGTGTAATCTGGGCGAACGGACTCGTTACTGACTGTACGCACTTCAACAATAAGCAATTGAAAACTCATACTGTAAATCAACCTTTAAAAGCCTCCGACATGGCAAAATGTTTAACAACATGTTTATTAGATCACCGGAATTAACCAATAGGTCAATTTTCATTGGTTATTTCAGAAATTATTATATTTAACTGATAAGACTATTATATTCTATTCTTATTACTTACAAAATCCATGATAAATAACTGCTCGTTTTGTTATCTTCACTCCAAAATCATTCATATGTTTTCTATGCATATAATTAGTTTGTCCTTTGTGAAGATAATTGTGCTCGCCGTCAATGTTTGTTCTCTTAAAATCATCTTTATCATACGATATTGCTCCTAAACAAATAGAACCAAAGAGAACCAATCGTCAAAGTTATAAGTATCGTTATATTGTCTAATCAGAAATTTACATATAATAATCATTGATTTAATCCAGATAACAAAACTCAAACGTACTTAAGACAGGTACGGACATTTTATTTTTCAAATTTCTCACGTCTATTTTGACATTTCTCACCACATACTTGACATTTCCAAGTTCCAAGTGACAATTATCATGTCGAAGTTGACATTTCTCAGTTTCAACTTGACATTCCCCATTTCTAACTGGATATATCTCAGTCCCAACTTAACATTTCTCATTTGGAACATAGAAATACAGATGATCAAACAATAATTTTACCTTGGAACAAAATCACTAGCCAGAATATTGTCCACATTTCTCTTAACTTGCCGTCTTCTTGGAGTTATTATATGAAGTGCACAATTGTTTTTTATACAGGTAAAAAAACCCATATGGTACGTTAGTGTACTTCTTTCAATTTACACGTAAAGAACAATAGTTATACATATAATCAATACAAACATAACATAATAACATTATAATCATCTATAATTGTAAGTCTTCTATATGGCTGAAACTTTTCAGATTGACAATTCCTTATAGAATGATCAGTATCTAAACGGAGATAAAAATTCTTCATTGATGGATGGTTGTTTGCTAACGTCCAGTGGAAAATATTTCATGCAAATTCAGGAGAACGAACTACTTTTTACTGTGATTTTAACTAAGGGGATGAAGGGGTTGCATTTTAGATTATTTACTTATACTAGTTGTCTATTTTTTTAATAATTTATGACATGGAAACTTAACTATAAATGTATTCATATGCAATTCATTAACAATAATTATTGATTAAAATTATTTACTTAATATTAAAGACAAATTTTAGTTCTGATAAATATAAAGAATTCAAAAAATCCGTAACTTATCCATGGGAGGTAACTGAATAAATAGGCTGAACATGATGTTGCTAATATCTACATCAATTTAGTCTCTGGTGGATCCCCATCTCCATATTTTATACCATTGTAAATTAACCATTTTGTACATTATTTGTATGTAACGTTTAAATAAGAAAAGTGACACATTTTCATTGGATTAAAAAGTTTGAACAAAATAATAACCTTAACAAACTTAAATACATATTTATACCTATTAGTTTTAGTTTCTTTTTAAAAAAAGCCTCCTCTTTTTTCTAATTAAAAGATTTTTATCATGAAACTCGATTTCCTCGAAAATACATACGGTGAATGATACTTTTTTTTCAATTTTACTGTAAAAGTATACAGTTTTTCATTTCATTTCTTTTGATTAAAAAGTTTTAACAAAAAAATGATATATATCTATATAAGTACAAGTTCCTTACATGTCTGATGCATAACCGTATTCAAACGTTACATAAAATTTAAATAGTATACAAAATGGTTAAATCACTTTCAGAAGAAAAAAAAATGAACTTTTCCCATTTACATTGATTTTGCCTAATCATGAATGTTTTGATGCTCACAGCTTGCCATACAGGATTATTGTCCAATCATAGATGCCTAACTGTGATGCAATTCTCAACTGTAGATAAAATACAAATAGTTTGCATAACATAGACATAAAAACAAAAGCCACTTTTAAAGTGCTACACGATTTTTTTTAAATACATCGTTTTGAGCTTTCAAAATTCTCAATATTAAATCTTTTCCTTTTATCAACTGTCATGTTTTATCAGGAAATAAAAGTATAAATTTTCGTCATCAGAAAAGTAAGGAACTGTTACTCATTGATCAATGCCTAACCGTGACCTTTAAACTTTGATCCTTAAGTCAATGTCTAGGACTGACTTGAGAGAATTTGTGCTCACAGCTATAGGCATTAATCTGGCCATTAGGTCGATGCTCAGAGCTTTCTATAAGAAACTTGCGCTCATTTCTTAATGCCTTCCTGTTACCGATTAGTCAATGTATAGAGCTTACTGTAGATATTTTGTACTCACAGCTATAGGCATAAATCTAGCGGATAAATCGATGTTCAGAGCTGACTTAAAGGAACTTAGGCTCATTGATTAATTCAATACTATTACAGATAAGTCAATGTATAGAGCTTACTAAAGAAAACTGGCTAGTTGCTCAAGGCCTAGCTCTGACCGTTAAACCTATGTTTACAGCTTACTGTAGATAAATTTTATTGAAGAGTATACGGTATGGGTTTTCCTCCTTGCTGAGAGTATAGGTGACTTATTGTAAATCTGCGTCATTCGGACTCTGGTAGTTATTAGTCTCATTGACAATCATACCAAGTTTCCTTATTTTATATTGTATCAAATGCTTAAGGTTAAAGGGTTATTGAGACCATAAAACTTTGTTCTAAAAAGCTAAATGTGGAAAACTTGTAGTGTAACATTACAACATAAAAAGACACACTATAAAATATCAATTGAAATGGCTTAACTCGATCAAAAAGACATTTAAACAAAAACAAGTAAACATACACTGAACGAACAAGTCTGATCTATGACACAATATAAATACCATATTAAAACGTAGGTGCCTATATAACATAGACGTTACAAGTAGTTATAAAAAAAATGTAGGAAGAGTGTCAATAAGACAACCCTTACATGGGATAAAATGGCGTTAAATAAAACAACGTACACAGGTAAATTTAAATATAATAATTTTGTTGTGATGAGTAAGGAAGTCAATATTTTTTTACAAAATTAATAAATTTGTTGTTCAGAGTAAGAGTACAGAAGTGAAAATTTTATCGTCATACTAAATACATATCAAAAGTGGTACATATTGAAAATAGTGACGAGATATACTAGTAATACAAAATATGTAAACATTGAATTACAGAAATGCATTACATATTGTGTCAATATGTCAAATTAACACGAAAGTACGATTTGAGAGTACTCGCAGTTACTGAAAGCTAGTTAAAAGCCAAAAACAATTAACAATAAAAAAAATCATGCATCAGGGACTAACGCCATAATGTCTTAATGAGAAAGTTCATTCTATACTTTAATCTTTCTGTAGAGAACCTGTACCAATTGATGAATATACTATGACGTTTATTAATAAAGTCGTTGTTAAGAGCTAGCTGTAGATAACCATGGTCGTTGGGTCAATATCTAAAAGTTACTGTAATGAACTTGTACTCGTTGCTAAATTGGTGTGTAGAGCTTAGCGTAAAGAACTTTTTCGCATTGCCCAAAGTCTTACTGTTAGCGTTAAATCGATATGTAGAGCTTACTGTTAAGAAAATTTTCGCATTGCTCAAAGTCTTACTGTGACCGTTAATTCGATGTTTAGAGCTTAATTTAAATAACTTTGTTGCATTGTTGAAGGTCTTACTGTAACCGTTAAATCAATGTTAGAGCTTACTGTATAGTACTTGTACTCGTCGCTCAAGGCCTTTCTTTGATTGTTTGATGTTCAGTGCTTATCAATAATGCTCGTTCTTATCAGTGAATTAAAAATAAATCTGAATTTATTGCTGCAAGATCTTTGATACTTAACTCTTATAGACAGGTTTGAATGTTTTAAATCAACAATAGATAAATATTCAATTACACCACAAATGATTATTCTAACATGTCAGACGATTCTTGTCTGTTAACAGGTTTCACTTTAGTACAATTTTTTAACTTATTGGTGCTAAAAACATTTATAACCTTCAAATCAAGATATATAATTGAAAACAAATACAAAACCGTCAAACAATGATATCAACTTTTCTTCCCTTTAAGAGTTTACGCCAATCAAATGGTTCAAATTAATTTTAATCCAATGATTTTTTTCATTCCATAGAATCCTTTCTGATTACGATTGTGCATTTATTCTCAGCGGGTACTATGTTCACATAACAGTGTAAAAGTAATTATGTAATGACATAAAGCTTTTATTTTTATCTTAATCTAACATGTCTTAGGTTTTGGATCTGAGGGGAAAGAGTAACATTCATATAAGTTTATCATACCAAAAACAGTTTGCGTGCAAATAATCTTTATAACTTTATAGAGAGAAAATGTAATTGAATGTAACGAAACTTGGCAAAAATGCGAAAGGAAAGACAAAAATTAAGATAACTTAATTTAATTATGTTTGAATCAAATTATCATTGAATATAAATCTTTTGAAATGTTATACTTTTTGGAATACTTTACTTGAAAATCACAACTACTAGTAAATCCTATAATTACGATAATATAAAATGAGTAATTCACCGATGTTCAAATCACGTAACAAACAGAAACTGAGAGAATCACATGAACTCCAGAAGGAGCGAGACTGGGTACATTGATAGAATCACATAAACTCCAGAAGGAGCGAGACTGGGTACATTGATAGAATCACATGAACTCCAGAAGGAGCGAGACTGGGTACATTGATAGAATCACATGAACTCCAGAAGGAGCGAGACTGGGTACATTGATAGAATCACATGAACTCCAGAAAGAGCGAGACTGGGTACATTGATTTAATCACATGAACTCCAGAAGGAGCGAGACTGGGTACATTGATAGAATCACATGAACTCCAGAAGGAGCGAGACTGGGTACATTGATAGAATCACATGAACTCTAGAAGGAGCGAGACTGGGTACATTGATAGAATCACATGAACTCCAGAAGGAGCGAGACTGAGTACATTGATAGAATCACATGAACTCCAGAAGGAGCGAGACTGGGTACATTGACAGAATCACATGAACTCCAGAAGGAGCGAGACTGGGTACATTGACAGAGCGAGACTGAGTACATTGACAGAGTAAGAGTCTCCTGTTTTGCATGCATCACTCACCATGCGAATTCAAACTCAGTCAAAATGTTACAATCAGAAAAAGGACACAATCGGTAACATTACAGATCAGACGACTATACTGGTATCTAAAGATCTAAGACAGCGAAAACATCTCGCTAGTTAGCTGAGACACCGAAACATCGTACTAGTATCGGTTAACCAATTAGTGATTGTGAACGTAAAACTTATGTTGTATCCATTTTATTCGTTCTTCCTCGTAACTCTGTTGCTGTTTTTGTAAGGAGCCTACAACTGTTTATGAAGTCCGTATAGTGATTACGTTCACGAGCGTAACGGAGATATATAAACGCCATACGATCACGCAGAGGGTGTACTACTGCTAAAAATGGGAAGTTGACAATTGGAAAGTTGAAATCATCACGTTTGTCATAGATGCTAGTTTGAAGTTTAAAACTTTTTTCTAGATTTATCACATATTCAAATAACTATTGTGGAAGTACAAGGCCGCTTACATGAACAAATAAAAAATATATTTCAAACCTACGGTATTTTAGTAGCATTATTTATTCGGACTCTATAGACATGATAGAAGTAGTATTTTTGGGGGTTCTTTTTTGTCTCATTAAAATTATTGATGGATAAAATAATTTATCTTTTGTTGTAAAATCCTTTCTTTTAA